ACCCGCCTCGGCCTCCCAAAGTCCTGGGATTACAGGCTTGAGCCACCGCGCCCGGCCTTCTTCCTGTCTTATTTCCTAAAATTCTATTTTCCACCTCCTTTAAGCAGTCTGTCTCTTCTTCTCTCTCCCCTCAGACCCTTCTGGTGGCTGTAATCTCCTGTCCTCTGTTATCCATATGTCCTTACTCCAGTAGGGCTCAGCCTGTCCTACCCCCAGGCCTCTAGTTCTTCCACTCTGCCCTTGTTCCACTTTGGAGCTCCTTGTGTTTGTCCGTCTCACTTCCCAGGCTTGGATCCCTTCACCCAAATGCGTGGTTTTCCCTAAACCTGCCTTCTGGTGACAGCTTCCTCTTCTCTGCCCTCCAGCCTCTGCCTCGGTGCACCCTCTCATTGACCCCCTGGCCTCAGGGTCTCACCTTACCCGGATCCCCTATCCAGCTGGGACCCTCCCTAACCCCCTTCTTCCTCATCCTCTGCACGAGAACGAAGTTCTTCGTCACCAGCTTTTTGGTAAGGATGGAGGTTGGGGTAGGGAAGCTCTAATGAGAAAAGGATAGAAAGGAGGTCTTTGGGTGGGGGGATGGGCCTAGTTGGGCTTGGGGTGGGATGAGGAGGTGCCTAGAGGAGCTGGGCATGAGACTAGGAAAGCTGAAGCTCTGCCCAAGAGAAGCACGTTTTAGTGTCAGGCTAAGAGGTTCGAATCCCAATTCCACTCTGCCACTGGCAACTTACAGAACTCGTGTTACCTAACTTTTTAGTTCATTACCTTTATATGTAAAGGGCCTGGCTATTCCCCTGGTCCAGAGCAGGTACTTGGTATCCATTGGTCATGTGCCCCTTGCCCTTCCTGCTTACAGCTGCCCCTTACCGGGACCTGCCGGCCTCCCTTTCTGCCCCGATGTCAGCAGCTCATCAGCTGCAGGCCATGCACGCACAGTCAGCTGAGCTGCAGCGCTTGGCGCTGGAACAGCAGCAGTGGCTGCACGCCCATCACCCGCTGCACAGTGTGCCGCTGCCTGCCCAGGAGGACTACTACAGGTACTCCAGGGTGCCCCAGCCCAGGGGACAGGAGCTCAGTGAGCCTGGGAGGGGCTGTGGCATGGTGCAGCTGGGCACTGTGCTCCTGGGGGAGGGAACCCCTCCTCTCCCAACCCCTTGGGTAAGAGGGGACAAGGTCAGGGTTGGTCTCAAGTCTCTTACCTCTCTGCTATGCACCGCCCCTTCCCTAGTCACCTGAAGAAGGAAAGCGACAAGCCACTGTAGAAGCTGCGATCAAGAGAGCACCATGGCTCCTACATTGGACCTTGGAGCACCTCCCACCCTCCCCCCACCCCGCCCTTGGCCTGCCACCGAGAGCCAAGAGGGTGCTGCTCAGTTGCTGGACAGAGGGAGGGAGGGAGGGAGGGATGGAGGGACGGACAGACAGACAGAAGGCCAAGGCCAGGCCCGGTGTGGTCGGTGTGGTGTGCAGAGGTGGGGAGGTGGTGAAGGTGGGGACAGAAAGTGCACAGAATCTTGGACCAGGTCTCTCTTCCTTGTCCCCCCTGCTTTTCTCCTCCCCCATGCCCAACCCCCGTGGCCGCCGCCCCTTCCCCGCCCCGTTGGTGTAATGATTTCATCTGTTAGATGTGGCTGTTTTGCGTAGCATCGTGTGCCACCCGTGCCCCTCCCCAGTCCCTGTGTGCGCGCCCCCTCTGCAATGTATGCCCCTTGCCCTTTCCCCACATTAATAATTTATATATATAAATATCTATATGACGCTCTTAAAAAAACATCCCAACCAAAACCAACCAAACAAAACATCCTCACAACTCCCCAGGAAGATGGCTGTGACTGGTTCTTTGCGGGACGTGGGGGTGAGGCTGGAATTCAGTGCAGCGGTTCCTAAAGAGAACTGTGTAGCCAGGATCTGGCAGGGAATTGGGAAGGGACCAGACCTCCTTAGGGAACTTGGTGTGGGGGCCGGAAAGAATTGGAGAGGGGATCCTTGAAGAGCCCAGAGCCTTGACTCAGCTGGAAGTGGTATGCCATGGGTGCTCGTGCTGCCTCCTGCCCCAAGGCTGGGAAGTCAAGATACTGGAGGCCTTATCCGGGACTCTGGCTCATGCCTGTAATCCCAGCACGCTGGGAGGCCGAGGCGGGTGGATTGCTTGAGCCCAGGAGTTGGAAAACAGTTTGGGCAACATAGAGAAACCCCATCTTAAAAAAAAAAAAGTCCGCCAGGCGTTGTGGCGCACACGTGGTCCCAGCTACTGGGGAGGCTGAGGTGGGAGCATCACCTGCGGGTCAGGGCTGCAGTGACTCATGATCGCGCCACTGTACTCCAACCTGGGCGACAGAGCAAGGCCCTATCTCGAAACAAAAGAAACCCCAACCAGCCAAACCCTGGAGGCCGGAGACAGGCCCACCTCTGACGTGGTCAGGTGTAGGAATCTATTCAGACGTTCCCGTTACGGGTCTTACTGCTATAAGCCACCGGACTCCTCTGGAACAAAGGCTTGAGTCCTGAATCCTTTCCGTGGAATGCTTTACGAAACAGCTATGAAGCGGGGGTGGGGCGGCTGGTTTTAATAGGTCCAGGCGATTAGTCCCTGGCAGCCTTAACCACCCTACAGTTTGAGAGGGGAGTGGGTGATAATCTCAAAAGCCTGGAAGGGAAGGGAAATCAGGCCGGGCGTTACGCTCCGTCGCCCATCAGTAGGCAGGGCCATTTTGGGAAAGCACGAGAACGCCTTCTGCTCTGGGCTTTTAGAGCCGAATCCAGCTCTCAGGCTTTAACAACGAAGGGGCTGTGACCGCCTCTTTTCTCAACCAATCAGCATCGACTTCATTTGCATAGGCGGATAGCAAATGTTCGGGAATCTAGAATGATTTAAGTAAGTTCCTTAGAATATTACTTTTTCCTACTGAAAGTTACAACATGCATCGTCGTTTATACAGTAACAGGAACAAGAAAAGCGGCACCTGAGCTCACCCTCACCGTTCGTGGAGTTCATGCACATCCCACCTTCTCTCCAGGCGCATGCCTAGCAGTGTTACAGCTCTTTTAGAATTTGTCTAGCAGGCTTTCCGGTTGTCGCCGGAAAGCCCCTTTCACGCGGGTCGTTCTTAACAATAGAGAGTGTTGTGTGGGTTGAATTGCCGCTGCGTTTCTATCTAGTACGTGGTCTTCCCGGCCCAAAAGCTGCTTGTAATTCTTGAGTGCGGAGGTTCGGACCGCCTTGAGGCTTCCGGCTGCGCCAGATGCTGCTTCCTTTCCGCTCTCGCTCGCCTTGGGGACTCTGCTAGGACGTGGCTCCTTCTTCCTGAGCCTTCCATTACTTCCGCTGCGCTTGCAGCTTCTGCCGCCCTATGGCGTCCGCCTCGGCCCCGCCTGCGGCTCTGAGCGCTGAGCAGGCGAAGGGTGAGGAACAGCCTAGTCAAGGCGTGGGTTGCCGGTCCCGGGAGGAAGCGGCGGGAGGATGTGGGGCGACAAACCTGGCCGTATTCGCCGGGGAAACGGGGTAGGGGATGCCGGGTACCATCCCTCTCTTCTAAGTGGGGCACTTGCCCCCAACTCGGGATCTTACTGGGTTACCTACAGCCTCAATCCACTAATTCCCTGCGTTCTCCGCTGGGCCCGCTGCCCGTGCTCCCATGCATACCCGGGACGCCTCCCTGGGATGCTTCTGGCGCGCAGTGGTCCTGGCGGAGGTGATCCAGGCGTTCTCCGCCCCGGAGAATGCAGTGCGTATGGACGAGGCTCGGGATAACGCATGCAACGACATGGGTAAGATGCTGCAATTCGTGCTGCCAGTGGCCACGCAGATCCAGCAGGAGGTTATCAAAGCCTATGGCTTCAGCTGCGACGGGGAAGGTGGGTCAGACGCGGGCAGGCGGTAGGTTGGGTCGGGAGAGGGCGCCGGATCTCTGGACCCCTGAGCGGTTGTCTCTTTTCTCGCCGCACGGCGGCAGCCACAATCTGACTAACCGTGTTGGCATTCAGAGCCCGGGCTCTACCCTGAGCTTGTGCCTTCGAGTTGCATTTTGTACAGTAGAAGTTCCGTATCCCTTATCCGACATGGTGGGGACCAGAAGGGTTTCGGGTTTTTTCAGATTTCTAGTATTTACATATACATGAGCTGTCTTGGGAGATGGGACCCAAGTCTGGACACGAAATTGTTTTGTTTCATGTACACACACCTTAAGCACATAGCCTGTAGGTAATTTTATGTAATAGTCTGAATAGTGGCTCACGCCTGTAATCCCAGCACTTTGGGAGGCCGAGGTGGGCGGATCACCTGAGGTCGGGAGTTCAAGACCGTCTCTACTAAAATTACGGTCTTGGGTGCTCGCTTTGGCAGCATATATACTAAAATTGGAACGATACAGAGAAGATTAGCATGACCGCTGCGCAAGGATGACACGGAAATTCGTGAAGTGTTCCATATTAAAAAAAAAAATTAAGGTCTTGGAGAAACCCCGTCTCTACTAAAAATGCATATATTAGCAGGCTATGATGGCACATGCCTGTAACCCCAGCTACTCGGGGGCCTAAGGCAGGAGAATCGCTTGAACCCGGGAGGCAGAGGTTGCAGTGAACCAAGATCGTGCCATTGCCCTCCCGCCTGGGCAACAAGAGGGAAACTCCGTCTCAAAAAAAAAAAAAAAAAAAAAAAGTCTGAATAATTTTGTTCATGAAACAAAGTTTCGACTGCGTTTTACAACAGTCACCTTGACCCCCACCATGAAGTCAGGTGTGTAATTTTCCATTTGTGGCCTCACATTGGCACTCAAATGATTTCAGATTTTGGATTTTCTAATTAAGGATCATCAACCTGTGCTGTTGATCACATTATCATTCCATTCTGTGATGAGGGAGCAAACACTAATGGTGCAGACTCTAGTCGTAGCAGAGCTGGACTTAGACGCTGTTCTGCCAGCTTTTAGTGAGATGTCTGCATGACACAAGCAGCTGCAGTCCCTCCAGGGTGTTTCAGCTCATTTCTGTTTAGGGGTTGGTGATTAAATTTTTGGTGAGATCCTGGTGTTCCCCAAAGGTGTTGACTGAGGCAGCTCTGCTGCCCCATAGCATTCCTGCATTCCAGCTACAGACCTGGGATCTCGTGGGTGTTCATACTTGGGGTTCTTGTGACTAAACCGCTAAAACGGTTCACTTGAGGGCGAGAAGCACACTGCTTTGGGACATCTTCATTCACTGCACCCCATCCAGCTGTGCCCAACGTAGAACAAGAAGTTGATCCAAACTACGTGGGGCAGAGTCCTGCATGTGCTATTTTGCAAACAGCTGCCCTGCCAGTTGGGGAGCAGCCCAAGCTCAGACTACCACCCCTCCACCTGTCTTAGGCACACTGGTCCTTAGGGGAAGCATTGACCTTCCATTCCCTCTTGCAGGTGTCCTCAAGTTTGCCCGCTTGGTCAAATCCTACGAAGCCCAGGATCCTGAGATTGCCAGCCTGTCAGGCAAGCTGAAGGCACTGTTCCTGCCACCCATGACGCTGCCACCCCATGGACCTGCTGCTGGTGGCAGCGTGGCTGCCTCCTGAGAGTTGGCCCTCCCTTGTGCCACTGCCAGGGAAAGAAAGGCCTTGATGTTCCAGACAATAATAAACGTGTCTGCGACTCTGTGACAGCCTTCGTGTCAGTCTTTCTTTTTTTTTTTTTTTTTTTGAGACGGAGTCTCACTCTGTCACCCAGGCTGGAGTGCAATGGCACGATCTCGGCTCACTGCAACCTCCGCCTCCCAGGTTCAAGCGATTCCCCTGCCTCAGCCTCCTGAGTGGCTGGGACTACAGGCGCGTGCCACTGCGCCCAACCAATTTTTGTATTTTTAGTAGAGACGGGGTGTCAACATCTTGGCCAGGCTGGTCTCAAACTCCTGACCTTATGATCCACCCACCTCGGCCTCCCAAAGTGCTGGGATTACAGGCGTGAGCCACCGTGCCCGGTGTCAGTCTTTTGTGGACCTGACAACCCCCACTTCTCCTCCCCAGATTCACTTTGCCTTTCCAGGCCGCATCCCCCTGAACAGCTCTTTCCTATACTCCTGGCTGGGCCTAACCCTGCTCCAGTGAGGGCTGAGGCTCCTCCCCTTTCCCCAGGGCAGGGTAAGAGGTTGGACTGGGCCCCTCGGCGCCCTGAGTGGGTTGGCCGGCACAGGGCGCACCTCCTTCTCGGAGGAATTGGGCTGTTAGGGCTTTTCCTTAGGCCCTTTGGTTTGCGCCTACTGAGAGATTTCCCCCATTGGTTGCTCTTCCCTGAGCCAGAGTTACTTCCTCGTCTTTACCCCTACCCAACCTCCCGCCGCTCTTGTCAGCTTGAGCTCCAGGTGGAGCTCCAGGTGGCTCCTCCTCCCCCGAGGGAAGGCAGCCCTGGACCGGCGGGAGGGCCTGCTGGACTCCCGCACTGGGGCTGCAGGGAAGCTGGCTGCTGTGGGCGGTCTCAGGCCAGCCCCGCCCCACCTGTCCTGTTCCAGGAGACTATTAGTCCAGGGTTTGTCCCTGCGGTGCCATTGGCCTGGCAGGCTGGATTGAGGAGGAAGTGGCTGATTTCTGAGCAGTTCTTCCTCACCTGGCTTGGGCCACCGTGCACAGCTGTGCCACTGGCTCAGCCCCGCCCACTGAGGCCCTCTGCCGTGACTTCATCCCTCCAGAGAGATGCTGTCCCGTGGGTAAGTCCGTGCACCACCTGGGTCCCAGTCTCATGTTAGTTTTTGAGGAAGGGAGGCCTTGTTCATGCTCACTGCAACATGTATGTGAGCCTGAGTGCGATCTGCCGCTGCCCTGCCCTGCGCCTGCTTCCTGTCCCTGTGAACCTTCCCTTCCTGCAAGGTGTGAGGACCCCCGGGCTCATTCGTGCCCCTCTGACCCCTCTTTAACATTTTCCCTTGACAAGGGTGTATCTGTTCTCTCCATTGCATTTCTACCTCCAGCCTCTGGGCTCCTGCTTCTGCCTCCTGCCTGGAACCTGTCCCCTTGGGTAGCTCACATCACCTCAAACATAGCAGCAGTCAGAGGCCACCCGCGAAGGCCTCCCTTGCCCAGCCAACTTCCCTGCTCTTTCCGATATCTGACTTTGGTCCCATCTTCTTTCCGTTTCCTTTCACTTCCCTTTCCCTTGCATCATTCATTCAACAGATATGTGCTGAGCATCTATAGTGCACAGGGTGCTATTTAAGATGCTGGTAATACTGGAGTGAACAGGACAGACACGGCCCCTGCTTTCACGGAGCTTATGTTCCAGTGGGAGGTTACAGATCGAACAAATAACCCAATAAATTGGATCATTTCAGATTCTCAGAAGTGTTATGCAGAAAATGAAACAGCCTCGGGTGGGCGTGGTGGTCCACGCCTGTGATCCCAACACTTTGGGAGGCTGAAGCGAGAGGATTGCTTGAGCCCAGGAATTTGAGACCAGCCTGTCCAATATAGTGAGACCCTGTCTCTACAAAAGATAAGCTGCATGTGGTGGCACACATCTGTGGTACCAGCTATGGAGAGACTGGGGTGAGAGGCTTGCTTGAGCCCAGAAGGTCAAGGCCGAAGGGGGTGGTGATTGTACCACTGCACACCAGCCTGGGCAACAGAGTGAGACCTTGTCTCAAAGAAAAAAAAAAAAAGAAAATGAACCAGCTTCATGTGCTAGCACGTGACTGGGTGTGCGGGTGACATTGCTAGCTGGACGGATCAGGGAGGGCTTCCTGAGGAGGTGACATTTGAGCTGAGACCTGGATGAGGAGGAAGGGGAGTTAGGCACAGTGGAGAAAGAAGGAGAGAGAGAGAGGGAGGGAGAAAGGAAGGAATGAAAGAGAGAGAGAGAAGGAAGGAAGAAGAAAGAAAAGAAAAGAGTGATATGGTGATCAAGAGTCAAGCATCCCTGGGCAGAGGAGATGGAGCGCACAAAGCTCTAAATGTGGGAACAAACAAAAAAAGGACAGTATGCCTGTGAAGCGGTGACAGAGGACCCTGGAGGAGCAGAGGCAGGGCCGGGCAGGTTAGACTTTGTTGGACCCGGGATGGTGAAAGTGAAAACCTGGCCGGGCGAGGTGGCACACACATGTGATCCCAGCAATTTGGGAGGCTGAGGTGGGAGGATTGCTTGAGCTCAGGGTTTTGAAACCAACTTGGGCAACAGAGAGAGATGCCATCTCTATTTAAAAATATATATATTCGGCCGGGCGCGGTGGCTCATGCCTGTCATCCAAGCACTTTGGAGGCCAAGGCGGGCGGATCGCCTGAGGTCGGGAGTTCAAGAACAGCCTGACCAACATGGTAAAACCCCGTCTTAAAAAAAAAAAAATTATATATTGATGGCCCAAGCCTGTAGTCCCAGCAGTCTGGGAGGTGGGAGGATCCCTTGAGCTCAGGAGTTTAAGAGCGCTCTGGCAAACACCGGGAGACCTCGTTACTGCTGCTACTTCTACTAATAAATAGCTGGGTATGGTGGCACACACCTGTGGTCTCAGCTCCTTGGGAGCGGGAGGCAGGAGAATCACCAGAGCCCAGGAGGTCAAGGCTGAAGTGAGCTGTGATTGTGACACTGCACTCCAGCCTGGATGACAGAGCAAGATTCTGTCTCAAAAAAAGAGAGAGAAAGGAGAGAAAGGAAGAAGAAAAACAGAGAAAGGAAGAAAGAAGAAAGAAAAGAAAAGAAGAAAGGAGGGTGGGCGGGAGGGAGGGGACAGGCGCAGTGGCTCACGCTGTCCCAGTACTTTGGGAGGCCGAGGCAGGCGGATCACAAGGTCAAGAGATTGAGACCATCCTGGCCAACATGGTGAAACTAAAAATACAAAAATTAGCTGGGTGTGGTGGCGTGTGCCTGTAGTCCCAGCTACTCGGGAGGCTGAGGCAGGAGAATTGCTTGAACCGGGGAGGCAGAGGTTTTGGTGAGCCAAGATTGCGCCACTGCACTGCAGCCTGGTGGCAGATCGAGACTCTGTGTCAAAATTTAAAAAAAGAATAGAAAGAAAGAAAGAAAAAGTGACAGGCTGCTTACAGAGTACTGGCAAGTTTGTGGGTGTGTGGCTCCCCAGCCCTACTGATTCTTGCTTCTCACAGTCACCTCTGCTCCTGCCCCAGTGCGCATCTTGTCACTGTCTGCCCCACCGCCGGGGTTCCTACTGAGTCTTCTGGTCCTGAATCCTTTCCACGGCCATTTTCCTCCCAGGTTGCCTGACCAGGGCTCCCCTTGTGCAGATTCTGTCCTTGGTTTCTCAGCCTGGCCTTGAATGACACTCTGCAGCGGGGTCCCAACCTCTCAGAGCAGCTTTGCTCCAGCCACACAGCTCTGCTCACAGCCAGGCACTGCGCACATGAGCTCTGTGCCACCTCTTTGCCTTGACACATGCTGCTTCTGGGGGGGCACTTCTCCCTCCACCATCCATCATGGGCTGTGGCAGTGCCCATCCCATCTGCCCTCGATGCCGTCTGCAGCGGTGTGCTTGGTGTTGGAAAGGGCAACAGGCTCTGGCGTCTCACAGCCTTGTTTTACCCGCCTTCCCATTCACTAGCTTGTGACCTTGGCCAGTTACTTAACATCTATGAGTCTTAGTTTCTGTTTCTAAAATTGGGTAAATAACACCTACTAAGTAGGGTTGGCCTGAGGATTCATAGTATAATGTAAAAGCTGGTGGCACTGAAACCATGCCACTTACAAGCTTTTTACACGAGTGGATATTTGGGAAATATTGTTAAGCTCATTTGTCAGGCAGTGATACTGAGGCTCAGAGAAGTTAAAAAACTTTCTACAGATTATTTTGCCTGGTTTGCTCTTCCAGACCGCATATCTTCTTGTATCACCACTGATCTTGATCTTTACGATTTTTTTTTTTTTTTTTTTTTACTGCAAATGTTGAACAATGGGCTAAATTCACATGATGGCACCTGCAGTTAATCTAAATGCTCCCCTTTTAATTTTTTTTTTTTACACATGGGGTTTCACTATGTTAGCCAGATGTTAGCCAGGCTGGTCTTGAACTCCTGACTTCAGGTAATCCCGCCCACCTTGGCCTCCCAAAGTGCTGGGATTATAGGCGTGAGCCACCGTGCCCAGCCCAATCTCTATGATTCTTAATTTTTAAAAAATTATTTAATTAATTTATTGTTATTATTATATTTTGAGAAGTCTTTCTTTGTTGCCCAGGCTGGAGTGCAGTGGTGCAATCTCAGCTCACTGCAACTTCTCCTGCCTCTGCCTCCCGAGTAGCTGGGATTACAGGCACCCACTGCCCTGCCTGGCTAATTTTGTTTTTTGTGTTTTTTTTTGAAATGGAATTTCACTCTTGTCAAGGCTGGAGTGCAATGGCGCAATCTCGGCTCACTGCAACCCCTGCCTCCCGGGTTCTCCTGCCTCAGCCTCCTGAGTGGCTGGGACTACAGGCCTGCGCCACCATGCTTGGCTAATTTTTTGTATTTTTAGTAGAGACGGAGTTTCACCATGCTGGCCAGGCTGGTTTCGAATTCCTGACCTTGTGATCCGCCTGCCTCGGCCTCCCAAAGAGCTGTGATTACAGGCGTGAGCCACTGAGCCCAGCCAGCCTGGTTAGTTTCTTCTGGGTATTTAGTTAGTTCCTTCCCACTGAGTGGGTTCAAGCCCTGGAAGGAGAATGTCTTGGGGCCAGGGTGCA